AAGCTGATAGGAAAAGCAGTTTTCAAAAAATAGTGATCGGAAACTCTGTCGATGATGAATTTAGTGTAGAAACAAAAGTGCAGGAATATTACATCTGGACGACGCTTGTACGGTGTTTCAATTATACAAAAGCGCCGAAAATCGGCCAGAAATATTGAAAAAAGGTCAATGCGTGCCAAAACACTTAAAGTCAAATGATATATGAAAGTGGGAGAAATCTATTTGACAAAACTCAATTCAAAATGTGCTACTAGTGTGTAAAGGACCATAGCAAAATGGACGATGCTAGTAATGTTTCTAACGTGAATTTTAGTCTAGCCTGATCGAAACAAAATAACATTTCAGCACTTTTGTTTTGGATGGGCAAAGTAGTTTAACACTAGATCTCCCCAAATCTTTAGTTTCACGCCATCCTGTCTGTTTTTAGGCGTTCAGGAGTGTTGAAAAAGTACAATTATACACATTCATGTAACAAAATAGTACTGATTTTTTGGCCTTTTTTCCCAGAAAAACTATTTTACTTTTTCACCTAGAAATGTGCAACCATCCTTATGCTTATGGGAGCTTCCTTATATTTCTAAAGACCTATTGCTCCAATGTGGTTGCTATAGATGCATTACAAATTTGAAACTAGAACAGGCACAACGTAACTATTAAAGTGGCCCCTACTGGTGGACTGACCCATATACATGTATAGTTTAAACTGTGGAGATTAGCCATGTGTTCCTCAAATATTTGAGTAAAAGAAAATCACAACCACATAATAACTGCTATAAATAGTATAGACCAGGGAAAAGGTAAAACGGAACATAGAGTACAGAAATTACAAACAGAAAGACCAAAAAGAAAAAAAAAAAAAGAACCTAACAGCCTGCCACCAAGTCAAAGACATACTAGCTGCAGACAAGATAAGGTTTCAAGAGAAGACAATGAAAAGTTAATTAAAACTATATCAAATCGAAAGTTTGGCAGTGGAATGGAATCGTCTTTTGACTACGACTTGATGAATTTTAGTTGTAGCGTGTGAGAGAGAGAGAGAGAGAGAGAGAGAGAGAGAGAGAGAGAGAGAGAGAGACAGAGAGAGAGAGACAGAGAGAGAGAGAGGGGGGGGGAGGGGATGTGTTGTCTAGAGCCCAAAGCACAAACTGTAGTTTAGAAAAATGACAGAAGCTCATAAAGAAACAAAACGTTTAAAAAGACAGAAAGATGCCTGTGTCACTGTGGCCATCTGACCCTTCACCTGTAAACAGCAACATGTCCGTGAAAAAAAACAAAAGGTGTGAAGTCAAGAAGAGAACATAATTGTAATTAAAAAATGTTTTCATCATCATTTATCACTGATCGTCATTGCCTTTCTCACCCTGGATCAGGGTATAGGCCACAAACAAACACTTTCCACTTTTCTCTATCCAGGGCTAGCCTCATGATATTAATAAATATTCTCCTGGTTTCACACGGCCTTCCCGTCGATTTTTTACTTTAAGGATTCCAGTCCAACATTTATTTTGCAAATAAATGCAGCTGTGTGGCTTAGGCTAAGTCGCCTCAGAATTATATATATAGAGTCCAAAGTGTACTTAAGTAAAGAGGCACTTTGGACAAAATAGTTCTGAGGCAACAAGTAGTCAAATTTCATACTTCATGCACCTCAAATTCAGCAGAAAACATTTTCTTTAAGATTTGAACACAACTTTGCAATCTCTGGAGAGATACACGAGTGAGAGTTCTAAGGCTAAAAAGAGAGAAACAGCAAGCATAATTATATTCGGGCTTATATATAATATAAAATATTATTTGTGGTACATTTATACTTTGTTTTTTTGGAAGTTGAGTAGGCATACCCCTAAAACCAGAGTGCAACCTCCAGAACATTTACAACTGTCTCCAGCTATATGAACTGCAAATGGACTGAAAAATTTGTTTGGTACTTTACTATATTAAACATGAAAATAATATAACATTCACATTAGCATGCATGCATGCTCTTTCTCACTCTCTAACACAAAAGCACATTCAGACAGAATAACGACACAAATGATGTGACTGGTCATGGACAATCTGACAGTGCACACGAGGGTCCTGAAGTACAGTCAAACCTGCACTAACGGCCACCTGTTCAAATGGTTACTCCCCCCCCCCCCCCCGCTTTTTAAAATTTTTGTAGGCCTACCATACATATCATAATGACACTGTAAGATCCATTTGACTAAGATGGCAACTTTTCACTTTTCTTCCGACAACTGGTTGCCATCATAGACAATTTTGACTGCATTTGTTTTAGATCTACATCATAAAATAATTAAATGGTCAATGATTTGGATAATCAATTATAAAAACATCAAATTTATTTAGTGTTGAACCTGCTCAAACAAACACTTTTCTAGATCACATGTCCAAATGACCACCTTCCACACTTTTAATCATCAACACTTTTACTTCTAAATTTCAGTACTGAATATAACTCATTTTATAGTGGTTTTAGCATCAGAAAAAAAATTAAAACTTTAAGAATAAAATTTGTCTTTGAAAGCCAAGAACATAGTTTTCAAGGCCAATTACCACACTGAAAAGCAGACCTGCATCCTCCTACAATTTAAACCTGCCTCCCCCTCCCCTCCCCCTCGCCTTTTTTCAGTATTATAATGACACTGCCCAAGAGATCCACCAGTATAAGACTACCATTTTTCTCCTCGACAATAAGTGACTGTCTTGGATAATTTTGACAGCACATTCTACGGATTTAACCTTGTTACTTCTTGTAGTAAAACTAAACATGAATAGGCCTATTGATAGAGGAAATTTTTAATAGACAGCAATAAATGGGTATGAATATTACCTCATGAACATAGTCTATATGAATTCAATAATTCAATATATATTATATAACTCCACTCCAGTGGAATATGGACTCCCTTTACCTAAAATTCATGCTGGGATAAGGAACATTTTTACTAAGTGACTTTTTCTAAGAACGCTCCGGAAAATAAACTTGACCTCTATTTCTCCAAACAGTTTCCGTTCTCGAGATTTTCTGATTATTTGCGAGAGTTTGGCATTATCTTTCATTCTGACATTTTGCGAAGACTGGGAAGAGGCATTTTTTTGCATTTAATGCAATTTCTAGAGCTAGAGATTATTAGATGTCAGAATATTCAGATACTTCAAATGTGGTTTTAGGGCAACATTCCCAGACTAGATCTCGATAAAATCAAAAGGTACTGCGAGAAAAAAAGACTGCTCGACTTTGGCAAGTAACCCATTTTGTATTTTTAATCAGGAAACGATAAATGCAGTTTTTGGGACACCTGAATAGACATGAATAAGGGTCTTGAACATCTAGCTCTCACTGGCAAAATTGAGGGCAAGTGAGGCAGGGGTAGGCCCAGAACAACATACATAGGGAACCTAAACATATGGGTAACAGGAAAAGATCAAGGAAACAGCTTTTTTGAGAGCATCCGAGCAAACTAGCAAAGGAATGAATGGAAAACCATGACCGCCGATGTCTGTCGCAGATCTGGCACTAGATGATGATCAGTCACCCCTAAAGCATTTAACTAAATCACAAAAAAATCCCTAAACGCCCTCACTCACGCCCTCCTCCACCCTCCCTACACACACTCCACACAGATACACACAGGTAGGTCACTCCATTAGCAAAAACCAAAAAATCTTGAGAACGGAAACCGCTCGGAGAAATAGTGATGTAGATCTAGATCTAGATTTAGATCTAGAATCTATATTCTCTAGATCTATACAATCTAGATCTAGATCTTGAGATGTAATCTAGATCTAGTCTATCTATGTAATCTAGAAGTAGATCTAATCTAGATCTAGACTCTAGACTCTAGAAAGAACTTCTTAGAAAGGAAAGGGAAACACCGAGGCAACTTCTAGTCTAGATCTGATCTAACAAAAATTTAGATCCAGATCTAGATCTAGATCTAGAGATCTAGAATCTAGACCTAGATATATAGATCTAGATCTAGATTAGATCTAAATCTAGATATAGATCTAGATTCTAGATCTAGATCTAGATAAATCTAGATATAGATCTATCACTAGATCTAGATATAGATCTATATCACTATATCACTAGATTAGATCTAGAAATCTAGATCTAGATGTAGACTAGATGTGGATCTAGATCTAATCTAAATCTATCTACATGATGCAAAAATAAATAGACATAAAACCATCTTCGAAAAATTTACGATAAACAAACCTGAGAGTAAGGAAAGAAAAGCCGACAATTTGAGTCGCTGGCAACGGGAACATCAACAAGGAACGACGAAGAGCTTGTACGTAAATATGAGTACTGCTGAAGGAAATTCGTATAGAATTGATATAAAACACAACACACCACTAAAATCTAGGATACCAAGAGCAACAAAATTAAGTGGAAACAAAATGTCTACCTTTCTTCCATTGCAATGAACACTCCAAGAAGTAATCCGAGCAGTGATCCTAAGAGCGCATCACTTTGAAATGCATGAAAAGTGTTGCAGACAATATCCAAAACGCCATCTTGGACACAGCCGTCTCTATAATTTAGAAATTTACTGCCGAATTATTGGAAATATTAAATATTATATTTTGTTGTTTTAGATTGAAATTTAATATACTAGTTATTCTATATTCTGTTTAATAATTATCACTGAGGACATAGATGTTTCCAGAAACAATAACATATTGTTTCTAAACACAAGAAAAAGAAAAAACAAAGTAAACTATTTGTTTCATGACCGTCATTGGTATCACTTCCGGGTTGCTAAAATTAAAAATGTAAAGTCAATTCAGCAAGCAATTTTGCAGCCAAATTAGCATTTCAAGCATTCGATTATCAAGGTTATCAAATATTATTTTATCAATAAAAACGACTCTTCAAAGAGGTTACTATAAAAATTCGGTTTAAATTCCAATTTCACGAACTAATATAGTGGCCTTTGAATAAATATTAGAAACAAACAGATTTGTTGTAGCTTTATTGATTCTGAAGAATTTAACTTCCGGGTTCATTCCACCCGGTTTTAGTTCTCAACAATAGTTAGATTCAGAAGAAACTTGTCAGCTTACTCATCCCAGCTTCGAGATGTCAGAAGATAAAGACCAAGCTTTGGTCTGGAAAGTGAAAAATGGTGAACTTTCTGGCATTCAAAGTGCTGTTGAAAAAGAGGTGAGTTTGCCTTTGTTTTCTTCAGAACGGGAGTGCAAACCTTACGATTTCTAATTTCTTCACACATCCTGCTCCTCTCGTCCTAACGGAACGTAACAGTAACAGCAGTGCACAGCACAGCAACACCCTTTCACTTTCCGAGGCAGAGGTCAGCAAATTCGTTTCATCCTAAGAGCGTTGGACTGTTCCCTTCTTTGATATCAAACTCGTTATCTGTCCTTGTCATAACTTGGTAAAGGGACCTGACTGGAATGAGTGCAGGGTGTGCCTGTTCAGGGTCTTTAGATCAGAATTGCTGCACATCAATCATCAATGGTCATCAACTTAAAGTCAATCACAAAGTGCCTAGAGCCCCTGCACGGCATACCGTCACCTTAGTGCCTTAGTGTTTTGTGATGGCTATTTCCGGAAGTGAACTTTTGTATTACCATAACTTCGGCTCTTTCCAAAACATTGACCCAAAATTTCGTTTCGTTGATAGGCTAGCCTTTCCTGTAGGTGTGGGGTGAAGTTTTTAGTCAGATAGTAAAGAAGACCTCTAACCGAGACTTGGCGCATGCCATGACATGTACTCCATACCGTCACGTGTCTGGGTTTCTGTCACGGCATGTACCCCATACCGTCACCCACTACACCCCATACCAGCACACTCAAATTGAAGCACAACTAGGCGTTTGAAAAGAGGAAAGAAGCAAAGACGAACTCCTTTTGTTCAGCGGGCCTAAGACAGAACTAATGTTTATTGACATACTTATAAGAACAACCACCAGAACAGACTCACATACATCTTACTCACACATAGGTGCATGAATGTTTCATTTTACTCTTCCTCACATATCACAACAAACTCACTTTTGAGCATCTTTTACTCACACACAAGTACATGAATGCTTCATTTTACTCTTCCACATGTATCACAACAAACTGCGGAGCGGTCATCGTCGTAAACCAATCCCACCTCCTTTTCATCCTCTTCCCCCTCCTCACTCTCTCCTTTTCTTCTCTTTTGCTTCATCATCTTTGCCTGTACTTTCCCCTTCCTTCCCTTACACCCACTTCATTTCCCTGTTGTTTCTTCTTCTTCTTCCCTAAGCTGCTCTCTGCTTCTCCAACTTCGTTAACTTTTCTCCTCTTTTCTCTTCTTCCTTCTCCACCCTTTTCTCTCCCTTTCTCTCTTCCTCTTTTCCACTTCTTCCTTCTTCCTTTTTCTTCTCTTCTTCCAATTTCTTCGTACTTTGCCCGTAAGACATACTTAGGGGCCTGAGCCCGCTTCTCTGTGTTGAAACCTTAGAGTTCCAGCTTGCTGGTATGGGCAGGTTGACGAACGAGGGGGCAGGAATAAGTTGATTTTACAAATCAAGGTACTTTCTGTATGCCCCCTCGTTCTCTATAGGTTCGATTTTGTGCCAATGGCAACGGCGGACCCAATGCTTGTCTGATGCCATCCATCCAGTGGCAATGGCGTGATCAATTAGCTTGTCAAGGACAAAGCAAAAGTGTTGTCCTGGGGCAGTTTTTGGGGGGGCTTGGGGTGTCACCAGAGTTTCATCTTCCAATGGTCTCAATGCCTGCTCAGGCAGGACCTTTGGTCCTGGTTATCCATAGGATCCCGAGCTGGTGTTGAAACCAAAGGTAGCTGAAACTCTGCTGCAGGATCCAGGAAGTCCTCGGAGGTACATTTGATCCCCGAGAATTCCAGACCTGTTGTCGAAAAGTCTAGGGCATCAAGGGATCACTCACAACTAGAGACAAGGGCAGTTGGGGGAGGGCCAGCAAGTTCTTCTGAAACAGAAGCAGTAGGAGCAGGTACAATATCACAACATGTGGAAACAGTGGCTGGAAGAACATCATCACAACATGTGTATACATTGGACAGAGGAACATCATCATCATCATTACATACAACGGGATAGAGTTTCCTTCATATAAATTTGTTTTAAACATTAAAAAAGAAAAATCTAAAGTCGCTCATTTTCTAATGAATTGTCTAAATAGATCTATCTAGATCTATATCAAATCATAGAAACTGAAAAATCTAAAGTACTAAGATGCCATCTATAGTCCGTCAAGAAATAACTATTTTTCAAGTCACGCACCATGCAAAAAATATTGTGACGGTATGGGGTGCATCCACCAAAAAATTGTACCCCATACCGCCACCCCCCTACGGGCGCCAATTGTTACAACAAAGAGCAGCGAATGGTTTGTGGCGGTAACTAGACACCTTATAAACTGAATAAAAATGCGAAACGAATCCTGCGGGTACGATTATAGAACCAATAGCTTATTTCCCAAGACGCATTGCGCATCTGCAAGCCGTAATGGCTGAACGCGGTTCTTACCTTTGGAGATGAAATGGATTATTTCTGCTCACACAGGTGTCTGATTCTGCTCAAAATTGTTGAACTTGAAAACAAAACAATATTGAACGGAATTGTTTAGCAGACAGCATTTCTGGTTGTCCAATTTTAGGCCAAATGCGTGCCAACTGACGGTCTGACATACGTGACGGTATGCCGTACATAGGCTCTAGATCTAGACTACTATTACTAAGTAAAAGTAAAATCAAAATGTGTGTGTGAGTGTGTGTACAGGTATGTGCGTGGGTGTGTGTGTGTCCTCATGTGTGTGTGTGTGTGTGTTTCACTTGCTCTGTGTATGGCCACCTCGGTGAGAATAGTGCAGGCGAGTCTTTTGGCTATTCTCACCCGGTGCGCGTTCACTGTTATAGCCTAGATCTAGGCCAACCAATTTTGCGTTCACCTAAACCAAGAATTCTGCACTGTGATAACAGAAAAATTGTAGAATTCTGTGCCGTGAACAAACGTTCCATTACTACTGTTAGCCTGCTAAAAGCGTACAATTTTGTCTGTGGGCAGTGAAGAGAGAGAGAGAGAGGAGTAGCGCGAGAAATTCCGGGCAAAACAAAATGGCGACCCGCGTAGTTCGGCTCGATTAAAAAAGTTAAATAGCCATAGCATCTTTGTAGTCGATAAAATTAGCTTACTTTTGTGCTATAACGTAATCTTTTCTTTGCTTTTATCCATTTGATCATCCACATCGATAGAAAGTATTCCGAAATTAGGAAAAACAGGTCTTGTTTCACACCGGGTGAGAATAGCCTACGGTGGCAAGTCTCACCCGGGGTGAGAGGTCGATCGTATTTCTATTCTCACCCCGGGTGAGAATAGCCACTTCCTCTGTGTATATGATTGTGTGTGTGTTTGTGTAAAGACTTTACTAAGTAAGGGTAGACAAGGTGGTAGTGGGTTTTTAAACAAATCATTTTTGCATGGTTACCATATTCAATTAATATACGAAGTGTGTACAAACCCGGTAACTGGTAACAAAGTCACGAAGTATACAGACCTGGTAGGGGAAATCTTTAGTGATTTCGGAATGTTTCAGTGCCCAGACCCGGTAGTGTGTGTATGTGTGAGATAGATAGATTGATAGAGTGAGAGAGAGAGAGAGAGAGAGAGAACAGGGGGAAGTGCCAGCAAAATGTATCACATGCCGCAGTTGACAGGAGGGAACGAGAGAAAGATAGAGTGGGAAAGTAGGTGGGGAGAAAGAAAGACAGAGACAAACAAAGAGAAAGAGAAGGCGAGAGATACACAGAGAAGAGATACACAGAGGAGAGAGAGAGAAAGAAAGAGGTAGGCAGAAAAAGAGGGTAGAGAGGCTGGCAGAAAAAGAGGAGAGAGAGACAGAGAAATAGAGAGGGTGACTGCTCGATTGAAATAATGACATTGTTCTTTTCTTCAAATTGTGCTTCCTCCAACTCCAAAATGGAGTAAAAATGATTGTTTTCTAAAATACACCCGCTATCTTCATTTAGATCTAGGCCTCGTTACTAGATCAATTATTTATGTCTGTCTGTCTAGACCTAGGCCATTGATCTAAAAGAACCTAGGTCTACCCTGAGCCAAGAGGGCGCTGAAACTTTCCGAAAGCACAAAAGATTTCCCCTACCATGTCTGTATACTTCGTGATTTTGTTCCCGGTTACCGGGTCTGTATACACTCCTATTAATATAACAATTTATGAACGTTCAAGCTCATACTCAAAGATCAGCGGTGTTATTACATTTAAAAATAAATTGACACTCCCAGGAAGGTACATATTTTGTAGACTGAAGATTCTGAAAGTCGATTTTACAAGGAAGAAGCTTGCCATACTTAATCACGGCAAGACTGCTAGGCTAGCCTTACTTGCTAGACTGGCAGGCTAGCCATACTTAATGACGGCTAGACGGCTGGGCTAGCCGTACTTTATAATGATGGTTAGACTGACAAGCAGCTAAAAAATAAGCTTACTGAATTGTAAGTAAATTTTTTGTTTGCAATACGTAAAGTATTTGTATTTGAGACGAAACCAAAAGGCCTGTGTACTCAACAGGTTTCTAGGGCCTAAAATGAGTACGGCGGCTAGACTGGCAGGCTAGCCGTACTGTTAGATGGCTAGGCTAGCCGTACTTCATAACGATGGCTGAATTGTTAATACGATTTTTGTGTGCAATACATAAAGTGTATTTCAGACGAAGCCAAAAGGTGCCTTACTGACATGCATGTATTTTAAACCTGAATAATTACTGTACTAGAGATCTAATGAGATCTGTGTACTCAACGGGTTTCGGTCAATAGGGCCTAACCTAGATCTAAGTACGGCTGGACTGTCAGGCTAGCCGTACTTATGCTGGCCACTTCGATTTTACAATGTGATTTACTCAAAATCCTTGAGAAAATGTTAAAAAGTTGTTTTGAAGGCCCTCTCACTTGAATTAGTTTTAAGTTGTTTCTTTCTTGAGTACAGTAGGCTGAATGAATTAATTCATAGCGCTACTGAGAGAATTATAATGGTTGTCTGACTAAGCAGAAGTAGGAAACTTCTTCTTATGTTTTTGTTCACTGCCTTGACTTGTGGAGGGCTCTCTATAACAGTCTCAGTCTCCGCCAGAATCTCATCCTTATCCAAACAGGGATCATGTGCACACACAAAATGTCTTCAGTTTTCCGCCATGATTTGTGCTTGGTATCAAAACCAGTGAATAGTGTATTCATACAGTACTGGTGACAAATAGCCCTGAGGGCAAAAATTGTGCATATTAAGGCGATATTATTGCTAAAAGAGCCGATTAAAGGAGAACGGAGACTGTAAGTGGTGGTGATGTGCTGTGGTAATAATGTCAAAGAGTTACGAGTGTATGATGCAATATAACATACAAGTAATTTATGAAAGAAAACATTTTTTAAGTTACATAACTGTTTCAGCCTCGGAAAAGAGAGGCAGGGAACACAAAGACAAAACATAATCCACAGTAAAGATCACAAAATAGCCACCACTGATGCTTCCTTCCCGGAAAGCAGGTAAACGCCTACCGACAGGTTGGGTGCAAAGTGGCTGGCTCTGTTGGTGTTCTTATCCCTTATTACTTCGGAGGGCATGATCAGCAGTTGAGTTAAATTGCTCACATGGCTAGTTTCTGCTTGTGTACGAATGATGAGTATTCTTGCAAAGCCCATATTTGTCTGTTTAACAAAGCTTAAGTTGAGTAAAAGGATAGCTGTGCCTTAATTTATAGTCACATGAGTAGAAAGAAAATACTCGTAGATATGTGTTTAGGTTCTTATAGTCATTTTGACTGAAAGCGGGATATTTGCTTTTTAGTGCGTCTTTTTTTTTAGGCTGGATCTAGTATTGTTGAAGTTTGGCTCCTTGCAATGGCCTCCAGTGGAGGAAAACAAACTATCGTTATCCGTTGAGAGCAAGACTGAGTGTAGATAAAAATTGTTTACAAATGAAAGTCAGTGTTGTCACAATGTGATGATTCAGTGCATGTGTTATTGGAAATGTTTTGTGCCACTTATTCACAAATGGATATTATCATGAAGAGGATTAAACTTTTTCTCCTACTTTTTTTCTTTTTTTCCCCCACGAAACAATGCTTAAGACATTATCATTATTATTATTTTAAAAAATTGTACTGACCTTTTATGGGTACCTCTAGGCTACCGATACCACTTTGTGACGAATATATGTAAAGTTGAAATATATGTCAAACTGATAAAAGTGAACAAAAACAATATAGAGTGAACGTACAATAATACACAATATCTGTACTGTGTTGTCTTTGAAGTTTGTGCTTCTGATTTGCAGGGTTGCGGGTCATTACAAATTTGGTGGAATTGTCACGATTTTTATTCAATTTTACGAAAATATGATTGTTGATTTCGAATTTAAAAATTTCAACTATCCCAACTCACTGCCTACCTTCCTGGTGTGTTAAAGGGAGAAAAGCTACCAGACAGTATACGTCACTATGTCACGTGTAGATGTCTAACTTTAGCCTCCTCATTACCTTGAGCCTTTGTTGTCTCTCAGTGTCACATTGGCCTTTAAAAAACATTGGACTTTGTTAGTGCCGAATCTAGGAGTAAGGCAAACATTAGGTTGACACGGTGTTAGCAAATTCCTGTCTTTTTGTGCTGTGTGTGACAGCCAAGACCAGTGAAAGATGTATTTTTAAAAAAAAATTGTTTGAAACTTAATTAATAGCCCCCTTTTTATGCCCTTTTTTTTCTTAATTCGATCGATGACGAGCCCGTCAAGACCGCTTTTTTCTTCATGCCTTTGTTTTTGATACTTTTATACATGCTTAGCTACGACTCCTGTCTTTGACATCTAAGAGAAGAAGACGATCCATGGCCATATGCATATCAGGAATTTTTAAGCCAGAGTACTAATTTTTTATTTGCTGTTTTTTAAACATATGCTGGTGGGTGGGCAGCCCTAAATTTAGTGCATGTCTGGTGTTGTGCAGTTATGTTTCATTTCATGTTCTCCTTTGCAATGTAAAATGTATGGCATAACAGCTTTAACAATCACAGTATGTGTGTCCTAGGGAAGTGGTGAAATTGGGCTCTCGTTAAGTTAATGAGACCCAAGAAACTGTCATGTTAGGCAAAATTAAACAATTATCATTATTTTCCGAGGGGGGGGGGGGAGGTGTGGGCTTTTTGACTTAAGAATGTGATATTGGCATTGTTAATAAGCCCTGCAATACCCTTCAACTCTCAGGAATGTCCATGTGAAGCCACTGGCGAAAGTCCAAGCAACTACCATTTAATTATTGAACGCAGTAGCTTTTAAAGTGAACCTCAGTCTTCTCAAATGTACGTTACAGTTGTTTTTTGCTTTTCTGGGGGGGGGATTAAAAATAGCAGCATGTGTCTATGGCTCACATTCTTCAGGTGCTAGTTTTTCTAAGGCGAATTATATGTTTAAGTTGTTATATTGACGAAAATATGATTTTTCCTCCAGGGTGTTAATGTAAATAAAGCAATCACAGGACGCCTTCCACTTCATTATGCTGCAGATTATGGTCAGACAGAAGTCATCAACTACCTAATTTCAAAAGGAGCATTGGTCAATGTAAGTAACTTTGGAAAATTACATGTGACAAGTTTCCTTTTCCTTTACACCGTTCTCCACACCCCCTTACATGTAAATGCTGTAAAATCTTATAAATGTTTTTCTGCCTTAGGAGAAAGGCAGCTTTGACCCTGATTGTCATGGCTAACCTTGGCTGTGTGGGACATCTTGTTTCATCAGTGGAAAAGAGTAACAGGCTGATGCTACTAATACAGTGAATCTTGGAAGAATGTTGGTGGTGGAAACAAGAGAAATAAGATGTCAAGAAGGACATGTAGAAAGAATGTATTTGAAAATGTAGAGCAGGTACTGTAAGTGGGATGGAGAAGAAAAGAGACTTACAGTTATGAAAAGAGACAGGGAGTGGAAATACATGGAAATGAAGAGAGAGAGAGAGGGGGGGGGGGGGGGGGGGGGGGGTGAGCATACTACGTGTCCCACATCAGTTCCCAGTTCCAAACATTTTTCATTCCAGTTCATGCGAGGGAAAAGAAAGAAAATCTGGATGCAGTACTAAATATAGACCTAAGAAACAATCAAGAAAATAATTGCGTCAGATATTTTAGTAGCTGCCTCAATTTAATTTTGACTTTTTTGACAACATAAGCCCGGACTCTTCTTACTACACAATGAAAGGCTTTGGGCTAGGAAAAAATGGAAGGTTGGGGGGGTTCAGGGAAAAGGAAATGCTTGGCTCTAAATAGTCTCTTTTTCTTGATAAAACCCAATGAAACTGGGTACAATTTAAGGTCAGTGATCATAGAACATACCAAAATTGATTAACCTTTCAAACTGAAGTTTAAAGATCTCTTGGCGATGTATTTCCTTGTCTTGTACATTTCAAATAATGAACAGAGGGGGCTGAAGGCGCTAGGTGAGAAATGCGTTATGTCACGGCTCGGCACTCTTGTCATGGTGGAAAGGTTCTGCTAGGTTTTCGCGGATTTGATTGATAAAAAGGTAGAAATACCCTAGCCAAGGTAAGACTTCTAAGATAATCATTTAAACATTTTCTGGTACAACAAAAAATAGTTTATCAAAAAGGGTAGTTTTTAAAAAATATGGTTTGTAGATTTCGAAGAATCGATGGTTATAAATTGCCTATTTTTCAACCTAAAATAGCTCGAGACTCAGAAGTGGCCCATCAACCTGAAAAAAACACTTTTTGAAGGCTATCCAAAGGTCTTTAAAGACATATATCTGACCTGGTTGTTGGTTCCCTAAGTTAAACAAAAATATGGACAGTTTGAACCCACCATCGTGATGAGAGTCATGTCCAGAACAAAACTTGAACTCAATGGGACTTTCCGAAATTGAATTGCGCTGCAGTGAGTGCGTTCACTGAAGTGCCTATTTTAAACACACCGGAAAGAACCATGCTTCTTGTTTCAGCTGGATTAGGGTGGTTTGTCCAAACCATGGCATGGTCAATTCTCTAGTTTCTGTCTCAGTGTCCTTGTAAAAAGCAAACTACTTTGTTGCTTTTGTCTTCACCATTTCTTTGCTCACTGTTATTATTTACTCCCTGTCTTTGCTGTTCTTCTCTCCAAATTTCACCAATGAGAGCTCAGATTTCCATTGGTGTTATGAGCCTCGTGTACAGGGTGCTGATGATGTAAAGCACCCCACATAGATCCAGATCAGATTTGCCTCTTTTTTTTTTCTCGTCACCGCTAAAGTTTAAAATTCTGTGTTTTCTTTTGGTTTTTGGAGTGTCAATGATAGTCACCAGCTTCAGTTCCTCAGCGTTCTTGAGAAACACTCATGTTGAATGACAGTTCAAAATGTTGTTTCAAGTCTGATATACAGAATATATGGTCAAACTCTAATAGCAAAATTATTTTTTTACATTTTGATACCTCCTGGGGCGGTTCTACTGATTGAAGTGTCATTAGGCCATTCCCAAGGGGGACGGGGGGGGAGGACATGAACATCTCGAGTTCTTATGCACAGTAGAATTATTATGGGCTGATTCGTCAATGTCATGCTCATAACTGTGCTTGAACTGCAACAGGGGACTGCTGCTTTTTCTTTCCTAATCCTTACTATCGTCATTTTTACCTCTACTTCTTTTGTATGTTTGTCACAGTCATGTGACCCGCTATTCCCGGGGTGCCTTGATAGTCGAAGCAGACTTTGTGCTGTTGAAGCTAGAGAGGTGAGCAGAGTAAGTCTGATTCCCTGTAAGGACTTCTCTGTTGACATCCACCCCTTGGCGCTCATATGACTGTATGCTGTTGCGAGCGCCGTAAAATCTCAACTTAAACAAACAAATACATTTTGATGTAATTATTGCCCTTGTAAGTTAAATGGACTTACGGTGAAATTGCCTAACTTTTCAGAACTTGTCCTGAAGAAATCCAAGGAAAATATATGGACATAGAAGACAATATTTTTCACTTTACGCTAAACAATAACAACTAGATTGTCGTACATAAGAATTATTTCTCAAAGAAACTTAATGCATCATCATTGGACAAGGGCATGTCCTGTTCGGTCTGGACAAATTTGTGAAAAAATTCTATTGTTCACTTAGAGTGAAAGAGTTAAGAGAGTTTCTGTAAAATTTTAAAAAGAAAATATTTTGACTGATCAAATGAAAGCCCTTCTAGGTCCTGTCCTGTTGGTTACCTGTCCCCTGCCTCTTGAGAGAGAATGGCCTACAGATAGAACAGGGTTAACTTTACTTAAGAATTTAAAAAATAGAGTCTGTCTTACTCTTAGAATCTAATCAGTTGGTTAAAGAGAATAGTATATTTTGTTATTGTTCATTTCGTTTTGTTCTTATCTGCTTTACTTTGTGTCCACTGTGTTGCAGGCTCCAGATAAATATGGCATCACTCCTCTTCTGTCTGCCATTTTTGAAGGACACACCGATTGTGTGAAATTGTTGCTAGAAAAGGTGAGTTTTTCATTCTGAATGTGTGACATTTTTTTCAAGAAAAGGCTAGTATTCTTCTATGGCTAAATGTAAAACATGGAGAACTCAAGGGCTTCTGGATTGAGGAATATAGGGATGACGCAAACACAATGGAATACAGTGGATCCCTTGGCAGCAGCTGGACGACTTGGACTCCCCGGATGACCTTTTGCTGCTCTCTCACACATAAACATCAGATGCAAGAAAAGACCTAGGAGCTCAACAACCTGTCAAGGAGTGTTGGCCTACATATACATCACGGCAAGTCAAAAGTAGTAAAGCTAGGAAAAGTTTCAAGCCCTGCTGTGACAGTGGAAGACACTCCCCTGGAAGAAGTGGATTCCTTTACCTACCTTGGAAGTGTTATCGATGGTAAAGGTGGAACTGAGGCAGATGTAAAAGCAAGAATCGCCAAGGCAAGGTCAGTATTCAATCAATCATCAAATGTCTGGAAAGCAAGCAACGTCTCACTGCGCGCTAAGATTCGACTCTTTCATTCCAAATTCAAGTCTGTGCTCCTCTATGGCTGCGAAACTTGGAAGACAACAAAGACAGAACAAATGTATGAGGAGTGTCCTAAGAATAAGTGGCAAGATAGAATAAGAAATGAAGAGCTGTGGAAAAGGAGAGGACAAAAGGATACAGAAGTAGAAATAAGACTAAGAAAGTGGCAATGGATGGGACACACCTTCAGAAAGCCCAGCGGAAACATCACTAGACAGTCGCTGCAGTGAAACCCACAGGGAGCTCGAGGCAGGGTAGGCCACGGGAAACATGGAGGAGATGTGTGGAAAGGGACATGAGAGAGATGAAGCTCACTTGGAACGAGCGAAACTGTTGGACTTGTTTGATCTTTTCACCTTTGCTAATGAGATTACAACTAGGATTTGCTGCTTTTTAAAATATTACCATGCATTCTGTTTTCTTTTCATTCAACACTAATCCTTTACATTCACTTTCTGTTACAACAGTATCTAGAAGCAATTGAAGGTCCTTTTCTGAGCCTGCTATTAAAACTGTGTCATTTGCATACCCAGACCTGCCACTCATCCCGATTTAGTCGGGATATCCCGATTTTTTGCCCCAAATCTCAATCCTCCCGATTTTCCCGATTTCGATCGCGTGTATCCCGATTTTTTGTCCCAGTCTGCTGTTGTGTCGGATTTTTCTTAAAACTTCCTCTGCCTTCTCCTTTATCGCGGGAAGCACCCGTCGAACTTTTTGTCAGTAGGAACTCGGAGCACTATTTCCCGAAATATCGATGCCGCATTTAGTAGTTGACTCTCCCCAAGTTGTGTGTGATCTTTTCCCGCACTCAGAATTCTCCGATGATAGCCTGGTAACTGTTTCTATTTGGGACCTTATTTAATAATCGATTATATTCATAGTTCCGCTGTTACTTTTCTAAACAAGCCTTGTCCGAGGTCTGGTAACTGCGCGTTCACACCAAACACTCGGACGAGCGACTGTCTTTCTAACCCTTACACAACTACATGTAACTGCGCTGACAAGACTAACATACGGCCGATGTCGTTGCTTTAGTCTGAACACATGAGGGATAAGAGATTTGTTGGTACATTTGGTCGGTCGGCCGCCGTCGTTATCCTTGAAGTAGAACGACTGTCGCTCATCCGAGTGTTTTGTGTGAACGTGCAGTAACCAGAACCAGTTAGTCGGTCGGACCCGTTAGTATTGTTTGAATCGCACAGTCGCGTCACGTGACATATCATCGCCGTGTGAGTTCTGCGTGTCGGGGACCGTCCGTTGACGGGGTCAACTTAAGTTCAGGTATTTCGGGACTTATTGGTAAAGGTGGGGGGGGGGGGGGGTGTTATAGACACTTGGACTAGGAGTTCTTGACGCGATGCTTCAGAATTTACAAAAAATAATGATTACTCACGCGCACACACACACACACACACACACACACACACACACACACACAAACGCGCGCGCGCAAAAAAAAAAGACACACAGAGGGCATATAGGCCAAGGAATTTATGGACACCCCTGGAAAAATTTTAAGTCAGCTTTGGCAGTCACTTTGGTGATTTGCTGTTGATCCCGATTTTTTTCACCAAATCCCGATTTTTTCTCCTTGAGATCCTGATTTTGAGGTTTCATAGAGTGGCAGGTCTGCATACCTGATGTTATTAATATTTTCTCCATTTATTTTGGGACCTGGACATTCTTCTGTTTCTAAGGATTGTTGATGATGACATAGTCTTACATAAAGGTCTTCTGGTGCAGAAAGCAGATAGAGGTGCATGTACTTGATACTAAACTTCTCCTGACAGGAATTGAATTCAATTCGTGTCTTCTGTGTGTAAGAGCCTGACTATCTCACTGCTCACTCTAGTGACTGAACTACATTAAGCAGCTTTTGAATTTTCTTTACTGTTGCAAGCGTTAGAGGAGTTAGTAGAGATGTGAAGCTACACAAGACCCTGATATGGTAGAGTGTGTTACTTTGAGCATTCCATCCATTCCCTCTTTCTCACTCCTGTGGGTGGTTAGCTGGTGCTCTGTTGTGGTTTGCTGTGTCTTTCCTATCAACCATCTATCGTTCTTATCTCTCCTTCTTCTTTTTTCGTGTTTGTTACTCACTTGTTACGCATCTATCTAATTCTTTGGTACTTATATGACCTTAATGTGTTGCAAGTGTCGTTAAACTCTAACTTAAACTAAAACTCTCTCTCACTCCCCCAGGGTGCTGACAAGACTGGCCGGTCCCCAGATGGTGCCACCTACATAGACTGTGCAGAGAAGGATGACATCAAAGCTCTTTTGAAATAGAATTGCTCTACATTATATTGTAGACTTGTTTCTTTCAGGCCAGGATTTTGGTTTTAGGAGAAAATGATAGTCAACTCTGTTGTACTATAATTGCATTGTTAATTTGATTTGGGAGTGCTATATATTATCATGTTGTTCTACACATGTATAGGGGTGTGTGCACGTATTTGCTTTAAATGCAGAAAGATGCTTTTCAATGACAGTGTGTGTTTCTTTGTATGAAATGTGATTGAAATTTGCAGTACTCTTACAACTTGAGTTGACTCACATATTTTTCAACATGCTGTATCTAAGAACAATCACCTCTCTGACACTGGACCTACCCCTTTTCTGCACAACAGACAGTCAGCGAGTTAAATGTGTCTTGATTTTTTCAAGAGAACCAAGATATTATGACCATTTATTATTGATTTATTAACCAAAATATCAACGTTTGCTGAATATATAATGATTTTAAATAATGTTCAAAGGCTGGGGCCACAAGTGGAAAATCTTTTCCTGCACTGGTCGTGATAGTAAGGTTGTTTATGGATATTTGTTGATGCTTGAGTTGAGATTTTGTCTTCTTGGAGCTTGCTTTTGAGGGCTGGCAGCTGAAACAAACTATCAGTATATGTTTGAACAAGGTAGTGGTTTCTTTGTGTTTTTATGAGAAGACGGTTTCACTTTCAGTTTTCTTAAATTTGGTTAAACAATACAAAAAGGTCTTTTTGTTGTGGGTTTTTTGTTTTTTTTGGTATGAGTGCTACATTTGGGGGGGCCTTGAATTGTTGCCTTTTTTCAACGTGAAATGCACTTCAAAGAAATGCTATGAACGTCAAAGACAGTGCATGGCCCTTGATCATATCAAAGGATATTTAATTGAAAATCAGTTTCGACAGGTCTCGTGCTTTTTAGGATGAAAATGAGCCTTTTCTTTTACGGTTAAGAGAGCATTCTGTCCTAACGAGGAAAGAACTATTTATAGTCTCCTGTCTCTGCGTTTATTGTGTATTGTCTAAACTGTATGTTGTGGTCAGGGTCAAATGGCGCGTAATTTTTGCATGCTATTCATCGAGTATGGTGTTAATAATGTTCCGCTCTGCTTTCTATTATTTATTTTTCTTGCTTCTATTCTGAGTCATTTTCCTTTGATTATTCAGTCCTCTGTGTTGTGCTTTTTAGAGATATCTTCTTATTTTGCATACGTACCTTTGTTCCAGGACGAAATAAGTGGGCATTCTGTAAAAAATCTTCCCTGCAGATGTTAGTTGTATTGGACAAGAGAATTATGTGAAGTGTTTCAAAGCCTTGAAAGTGTTATCAAGGCTTATGAAACTTGCAAATTTTTTTTTTTTTTGGTGGGTCTTGTCTTTCGCTTATAATTTTGTTTCTAAAAGTACATTCAATATTTGAAAGTGATCGAACACTCTAACTTATTCTAAGTAAAAGTTTCAATTTGTTTAATTTATTGACCAACATCGAACTTATTTGTCATGGTATCATCTTCATTGTGAGTACCATTTAAATGGAGAAATGAATTTTTTGGAGCCGAGGTGTGGACCGCTTAAAAGGACTACATATCTTTGCATATATAATTGAGATTGATCGTTAAACTACAAACATGAGTATTTTCTGTACTTTTGATAAGTGTGCAATGTTCCTCAGTCACACTCAAGACCTGGGTCTCAGTGTGACAAAAATGTATGGTCTTAATGCGTATATGATAAACTTTGCTCTCCGTTTTCTGTACCAGTTATGGTTCCTCTAAAACACCAGAGGTGAATGCTACATTTTACAAATTTTCATAATAAGTTATAATTCTTAAAGCTTGCAATCACATTAAAATTTGAATAATTCATTACAAGGCCTTTGGATGTTACTTGTTTTTTTTTAATTTTGATATCTTTATCAAGTTGGATTTGTGGATTTTTTTGTGCTTGTCATGAAATCCGCTCTGGTCTTTGGTTTGATTTGTTTTTGTAGGTTTAACAAGCTCCTACAGATGGTATGTGCACTCTGTGTTGTAATCTCCCCTTAGTTTTGTTTGGAAATATATAGCTTCCAACTGGTAAGAAAAAATGACTAAATGTATTTATAGTATGTTTTTTTAAAGTGCCTGAATACAAAAGTCAGTTTTTGTATCAGAAAATACATATTCTCTATCTTTCCAATTCTAGGGTTGCTCCCCATGAACTTGCCCGTTTCTAAGAAACATTTTTAACTTTGAAAACTGGATTTGCGAATAGTTATGGGAATGAACCCCGTAAGTCGATAAGAGCAATCTTTTGCTTCAGGTCTACTCTTAATAGCTTAAATTTATTGAACGTTCAAGGGTTTGTAGAGAGGCTTAGTTGGCCAGTGTTCGCCATCTTGACCTTTGACTAAGGTAGAATCTGTTTTTTGGGTTTTGAAAAGCTGGCAGTTGGCAAGTATGGAAATAAAAATGTTAAGACTTTAAAGTAATAAAGTCAGCGACCTACAAGATACAAATATGAAGCGTGCTAAAAAAATGAGTAACTTATTGGATTCAAGTCTTAAGGAAATAGATACATCACGCTTTTATAGGTGAAGATTTTACAATTTATAAGTATCGTATGAAATAATAATAGACTGGCTATAGGTAAAGAATAGGGCATTAATATAAAGTCTACAAATTTAACCCTAATTTTTTGGCCAATATCTCCCTTTGTGGATTGCGAGAAGGAACTCATGTTGTCAGCACGCCTCACAAATAGTAGTTAGAGTAAAGGTGGGGGAAGACGTGAAACAAGATTATATGAGTGTCAAATACCGGTATACACCTGAACAGGTTTTAATGTGTATTATTCTCTAGGTAGAACTAGAGGATTTAATTCCCTGATAGTATTCAGTGTTTTTTTTATCCCCACAACTCGTAGGCTACTGGTTTTATATAATACATGTAGAAACACTGTGCATGATTGGCTCTGTTTGTTGACACTATCCTTCTCAGGATGGGATGCCTATTCAAAGTGAAAATTTTTCAGCTGAAAGTCTTAAATAACTTTATGTGGCGTTGGTGGTTTAGTAGATGACTGTTAGTTTTACAATCGAAAAGTTGTGGGTTTGAACCCCATCAAGGGCCTGATGTTGTGGCCTTGAGAAAGACATTTTACTCGTATATTCTTCACTCCCCCTAAATGGGAAAGGGTGCCCTGCCCGGCTAAAGACAGTGAAACATCTTGTCAGTTTGTCAGTATTGGACTGCTTGCACCGTGTGTTTCTCAGGAAAACTAGAAATGCAAGAATTAATGCTTCTGACTGTTCTACGGTCTGCTGGAGTAATAAATATATACATTGTAATGCGCTCATTTTGAGTGGGGATATGCGCAATACAAATGATATATTATTACATATATTATGTAAAGTTGGACATGGATTATTCGAACATATCAGGGATAGACAAATTTGTTCGCCACATCTATATTTCAGGCTTACCAAATATACAAGTAACAAATGAGATGTCAGTCGGGGAATGGCAAAATGTACAAGCTATCTGTGATTCTGGTGGGGGGGGGGG